TTTAAAATAGAGCATAAGTATACATAACCATGAAAGACATTGTGACAGTCTTAACATGATCACTATTTTAAACTCAAAATTGCTTTACCAAGAAAATGCTCCTAGCTAAATTTGTAAGTTATGTTTCAATAGTTTGAATCTTCATATTATTGCATATTATTTATTGTTATAAAGATGCCCTTATCCATGGCATCTTATGTAGGTCATATTTGACCTATTATTCATGTACAGCTTGATGTTACCTGGCTGAGGTGTGCAAAAGAACTCGGCTCTGCATCCCACTGGTTATGACGGCAGTTCCCAAGCTACTCCACGCTGACACTCTGACTGTTAAATGACTATTTTAAATTACATTTTGGATTGACGATTCTGCTGCAAAGGTGATAGATGGGGAATGGCACAGTGAGTGGGGATTTCACATTATTTTCACATAAATGTTAAAATGAATCTACCAGACTTCTAACCAGGTTGTAATTTTGAATCCTAGGTGGGACACTACTGTTGCACCCTTGTGCAAGGTGAACCTGAACTTGAGTTAATATACAGCACTAGAAAACAGATAATGTGCAAAATGTGAGCCATGTGAACTACCTCAGATAAAAGTGTGCTGCTATCAAATCAATCAATCAATCAATCAATCAATCAATCAATCAATCAATCAATCAATCAATCAGTTATACTTTATTTAATATCACTTTCTTAAAGTACTGCATTTCATTCTAACATGAAAAAGAAGAACAATTACATATTAACAATGAACAAATAAGTGTTGAGATACATTTTAGTTTTTTGTTGACAAAGAAATGCAATAATTACAGTACTTATTGTAAGGTATCATATAGGCACATAAAATTTGGTTTTGAAATGACAAAACTGAATAAACAAAATGTCATAAATTTGCAAAGGGGAAAAAAGTAGAAAAACTCACAAGCCCTTAATGTTAAGCAACAATAAACTTTATTAGCAAATCTGTCTGATCTCTGGGGTGGATCAAAGCAATTCAGGTGACCTCAAAAACAAGTGACTTATTAATGCTTACCAAGGCTTGAAACAGAAGAACACAGCTCAGGTTCTGTAAAAATGCACTAAAAGAAATAAAATTTGGTTGATTGATTGATATAAAACAATGTTGTCAGCCAGAGGCAATCTAGCTGACTGAGAGAGTTTTGTTTCACACCATCTGTCTGTCTTCAGCTGGATGTAGGCTGAGCATGGCCTTACTGTGGTCTGGGGCCAATCAGGGCCTCTGCTGACTAGCATTTAAGTTTCTGTTTGCAAATTCTGTGTAAAGTGGGTATTAAAGTTGATGTGGGATCTTGACAGCATACTGTGGCTGAAAATAATGTAATTTAAAAAAATACTGTAAATAAGGTGAACTAATGATTTTTAAGCAATAGACACTGGTGCAGTGACTGGGGAACTTAATTTTCATAAAATGAATAATGTAAAAAAGGAAAATCAATCAGAGTAGCATCAGCGTACCATTTTGAAGCATTTTGTTCAAGTAAAAAAACCTCCGTAAGTAAGCTATTTGTAGAGCCTTGTGACACAAACATATGTCTGCATGGCTGCCTGGTAGACACATTTTTGACCTCTTACAAAAGTGGAGGAATCTGTGCCTAGAATGACAGGTTTTGTAGCTGGTAGCAACACATTCAGGACCTAGAAAAATCCAGTAGCTTCTCTCAAAGCAGTTACAGAACCAAGCAGAATCTTTCAATGGGTGATGTTCTGACTGCAAAGAATGTACACAGGAACTGAATAACTAATTTATGTGAGAATGCAAATAATCCTGAAGCCTTCTCACTTTTTGATGTGTCATCACCTGCAGCCTCATCGTGTGAAGAAAAGCTTACTTTACAGTCAGGTCTACATTCACAGCAAATGGGTTCAATATGGCCCATCTGTGATTGTAAGAATGACCTGAATTAGAATTGCAGTCATTGATCTTGATTGTCTCTCAAGGTGAGAGCATGTACGCAGAGTCGAATGTTGAAAGAGAGGAAAATGCCTGGTATTAAACATCAGCACAATCTGTGTTTAAATTTCAACAACATACAAGTAATTAAAGAATATGATTATTTTTTTTTTAATTGGGCAACTGTAACTTGTATCTCGCCATCAGTTCACTGTGTTTCATCATTAAAACTGCTCACTCTGTATGTTATTCATGACCTCTAGGCAAATTATGTTAAATGTCACCAGGGTTATTCCCTGTCTGATTGCTGCAAGCAGAGTAACTCTGGGGGTGACCTAGTTATTTTTTTCCTTCATTGTTGAAGGCTTTCCTTGCACCATTATTTGAAGATGAGGGAGTGACCTTAGAGGACACCCTAACATTAAAAGTAAAGTTCGGGCCTTTTGAGATTCCCTAGGGCTCATGGCCTGAGTATTAAAATGTGCTTGCAAGTAAAACTGAACTGAAACTTCAATGGTTCTTAAAAATGTCACAGAAAAAAAAACAGAACAAAATAAAACAAAACACAAACAAAGACATGAAGGCATACAAGGGAAATGTTTCATGTAGGTTTTTTCTTCCACAAATTAGCAATACATCATTGAAGCATTTTAAGTGTAATTTATAATAAACTTTACATGGATTAATAATTCAAGGCTTTTTGAAATTTTATAATCCTCTGTTTGAGCATACAGTGTTGTCAGTTTGCACCATTAGAGCATTCTTGGACTGGGCTTTCTGTTGGAAAGATGGGACCAGGATTGCACACCAGTTTTCACTTTGTAATTAGGCCTTCAGTTGCACACTTGGACACCTCAGGGAAGACTCCCCTCATGTTCTGTAGTTTCCAGATGATCAAGCGGATGCTTTGTGTCTACCCAGGGGGAAATCCGCTTTTATTGGTCCCATTAATATTTTTTTCAGAAAGGTGTTATGCGGCGTCTTAGAACAATCATTATTCTTTTATATTGTCTGCATCCTTTCAAATTAAAATAAATACTGATATATGCACATGTGAGTAAAGCCAGCACATTACAGAGAATGCATAGCCTGTGTGTTGAAAGATTAGAAAGATAAGAGGCTAAATTCCCTTTTTGTAAATGACATTGAATATGTGTAGGTTTATTGCAGTTAACATTTGCATTTTGCATTACTAATTATGAGTGATGTGACAGTCAGGCTTCACACATCCTATCGTAAATGGACCTGCCATGTGCTGTCATTCAGGAAGCCAGTAACCAATAAAGCCTTTGCTCTCCATAGCAAAAAACTGATGTGTTCAGATTTGTTGAGTCATTGATTGTACAAGTCTCTATCACTAATAATCACTGTTCTCAATGTCATGCATTTTGACCTCAGTAAATTTCTTAGAGGGCTGGACTGCAAATATGTCATCACGTTTATACGCCACTAGCAGATGAATCAGAGGCAGTGGCAGGCAGCAAGCCACAAGTAGAGGAGGCAGAGAAGTTACCTTCATTTTATTTTTATCCTGCTACTTTGTTTTATTTTTTGCTTGACAGCATGCCAGTTTAAATAAAAATAACCCAAGAGCAGATGATTCCTTTACACCCAAATCCATTGAACGGGGGGACGCTCTGCCTTTGTGCAGCTCACATTGAATCATTTCAGCTCCAACGAAACAAAAAGGTTTTTATCGTAAGAATGATCACCAGTCCCTTTGTTAAGAAGAAGTATTTTTCAATGGCAGGTGTAGGAAACCTATGGCAGTGGCACCCCGTTAGACAAGTATCCGAAGTAAGGAATCCGTTGCTAATTGGTGATCCTTGCTAAAGGATTGGCAAGCTTGTTAACAGTGACAAACTGCTTCAGAGCCATTATCAGCTGAAGTGTGGATTCTCTGTTCACAGCCCCTTCTGGTCAGGGGATGTGAAGCAGTTATGCAGGCGGAGTGACTTACACTCTGACCTTGCGATCGAGATTGCCAGCCGGGGGAGGGGGAGGGAGAGCTGATAATGAACAAATCACAGTGGTCATCGTCCAGCTGACTCCCTGCAAACCGCAATATATGGATCACCTGTGATCCATGTCCACAGCTAATGAAAACCTCCTACTCAGGATCAGCAGGGGTGTGATCAGAAGGCACAGTAATACAAAAGATATAGTGCAGTGACAATGTAATAAGTTTTGAGTTTTGTATTGTTGAATGTGCCTGACGAATGGACTTTTATATTGTTCCGTACTGGCTTTGGTATGGATATGGAATGTGCTTTTTGGACTTCAGCATTTTCTGAGTGACTCCTTGTATTGATATTTAATTGAAAACATGGGAGTTTGACACTTCACTATAAGTCATCGTAACTTCCTGTACAAAGGTCAGTATCAAAAATGTGCACACTGACCTTCATGGTTATGAGTTACACGTTTCTGTGGTGATGATGTCAGCGCAACATTTTTATTATATATTTTTTTTGCTGGAAGAACAAATTTCGAAACTAATGCACATGGGTCTGTTTGTTTATCTTAGTAATGAAGTCGTGCGTTATCGTGCATGTCCTCGTGTGCGTCTTATCATGAACCCGGGCATGATGACTCACGTCATGTCGTGAGGAACGCGCTGATCGATAGAGGTGCAGCTATTTCTGTTTAGCAGAGCACAGTGTCTGCACCTGCCTGGGGCCTGTGGATGTTTTAGGAAGTCAGAGAATGTGGAAATACTCCATCTGGCGAGGAGCCTCTTAGGTATACATCTTGACTAGATGGCACATGGTGCAGTTTGTGTGTGTGTAGGTGGAGGAGTGTCATAGAGTTTAGGGGAACTTGTGTCACAACCAGAAGGTTGCAGGTTTGTGAGCTAACTGCCTACGTAGATAATAATAACAATAATAAATACTGTACTTGTGAACTAGCTAGCCAGGTCCTTTTAATATCAGACACATTATATTATGTTATCATCATTTTAGCAGGCACTCTTACCCAGAGTGACTTACATAGGTTACAGTTTTTTCCACACGCATATAACTGGATATTTACTGATTGTAATTGTGCAAATGAGAGTCAAGTACCTTGCCCAAGGGTACAGCAGCAATGTCCCAGCAGGGAATCGAACCAGCAACCTTTTGATTATGAGCCATGTGCCCTGCCTCTATGCTACATTGCTGCCCATTAGATATCTGAAAGAAGGAGACAGCTGTTAAAGACTTAGCTGTTGATTGCTTATATATGTTGTGACTGACCTGGCTAGCTAAGCGATTTGTCATTCAGTTTATTAGTCATCATACTAATACATAAGCTTGGTAATAATCTAGGTAATGCTAACTCTCTGCACTCATGTTATGGGAGGTGTTGCTTGGAATGCTATTTTCATGCCTAGACAGTTGCAAGGAACGGATGTGGATGTCACATTTCGCACTGTATGTAACTGTTAAAAGTTACAGCCAAGCGGTACCTTATGTTTCTGTTCAGGCAGCTGATCTGAGCCAGTGGCAAACCACTGAAGGTCAAACATCGATCAATATCTATTTATGAAATGTATAAAAAATGGAACAGGAGAACAAATGTAAAAAATGACAAAAGGAAAATCTGAGTTGGATTTAAAAAAAAAAATGTACCAGATAAAGCAGCCTGAAAATGAAAGGTACAGAGGAAATTAGCTCCTGGAGGCAGGCCTGAACTCCTCCAGCAGGGAAATGACTCCATTCTCTGTTTTAAATGCCTGATTTAAAAGAGATTGTCTAATGGTCTGGTTTGCTGTGACTCAACAGTGGCTCAGCTGTCTGTGTTATGTGGATAGGAAGCCATATTGACAGTGTAAAGCACCTGTTCATACCTGTTTTTGGTTTTATGGTGCTTACCTGTAATAAAACTAAAATCATAGAAGAGAAACAACCAACACCATTTTACAATTGTAATAAAATGTCCAGTATGTATTCTTTTAATGATGTTTGCAAATATTTTCTTTTGGGGGAGATCAATAACATGTTTAAAGATACAGGTTTAGTGTCATAAGTTATTGAAAATGTTTAGAAATAATGCTGCTGTGGGCTTTGAGGATGACATTTAATATCAAAATATTGTCATTATTGTTCTGGTGGGAAGTGCCAAGGTGAGCCGGCTATGCACATGTGAATATGTGTGACCATATGGTGAATGGTGATTATACATAAAAAGAGGGAACTCTTTTAGGAAAGTGAACAGGATCAGGGTTAGCATGCTAACAGTTCTCTGAAAGATTTGAATCCCCCCTCTTCCGCTGCCACATATGACATTATCCATACAGTGTCCTTCTGTTGTGTTTTTGTGGCGTAATTTAGGTGATCCGGCAAGGTTACAGGGGTGGCCTTACCCTCTGGTCATCAGTTCGATGCCCCAAATTCTCACCCCTCTCCGAGCTAGAGTGACGTCATGCCTCCTCCCTCTGTTTAGTGTGACATCACGCAAATGAGCCACTGTCCTAATTTTAGCCCAGGCATGGGCCTGGAACATCACATAGATTTGCAGCTGTGATTTGATGTCTAACATGGCATTTAGCTGGGCAGGGGGGAGGGATGGGAGTCACGTGAAATGGGATTATTTCGTGCACGGGGAGCGGCACACATTTTTTTTGTTGTTTTTGTTGTTGTTGCTGTTGTTGTTGCAGTTTTCCAAACATGGCGATAAAAGGAGCTGAGTGGCAATCATAACAGGCCTGATATCAGTATGTGCATGTCAGTGTGAGAGGGCTCGTGTATTGGCAGGCTGCTTATAATGTATGGTGCAGTGTGCATCACATCGCCGCAGAATGAATAGATTAAATTGGTCGTCCGGTGACACAGCTGTACTCTCCGATACGCGGTTCAGAAAAGGGAAGGGAAAGCACAGAGAAACACGGTGGAACAGGGTTTTCTGGGTGTGAGCTTCTGCTGCACCCAAGCAGGGGAGTAATGGAGCATTGAGTGACATTGAACGATGCAGATTTGCTGGGAAGGAGGCAGAGCTGACTAATACTAAGGTATAACTGAGATTAAGGGGAAATATTATAGGACATCAACATGGTAGAATAAAATGTGCTCACAAAAGGCCAAAGGTCATACCCAACAGGAAGGTGGCGTGACATCAATCAAACAACTGTGCTAAATATTACTGAAATTGCAGAGTCACCAGAATTCATGTTTGAAAAGTCACTGTTTGTATTTGTTTCCTCTCAGTGATTTTCTTTATTGTTATTCTACCTCCTATTATAATACATAGATATACTGTAGTACTACTGTCCTGCACAGTTCTCAGAGTTACAAATTCTAGAGAATGATTTCTTAATTTCTTAATAAAAGGAAAGTATTATGCTGTCATAGGTTTTCATTAATTACTCTTCATTAAATGTCAAACTTTTGACACCAGTATTAAAATGGTGTTTTATGGGAAAGGCAAATCATTTATTAAAACTAAAAAGAAACACTGAGCAGTGCATTGTATTTTGTAGATTATTTCTTATACTTGTTTGCTTAATCCTTTTTTAAATTAGTTGGGAGCCATTTTGTGGTTAAACTTAGAATGTATATACATAATCTTTTCTTCTGTTTAGCACAAAATGCAGAACCATGTGCTTTTTATCTACAAAGTTCCAGAATTAGCATTTAATTGTAATTGACATAAAAAAGATACATAACTGCCCACTTAAATGAATTATGGAGGGAATTAAATTATAACACAATTAAATTTTATTCTACTATTTTACTGTTCTTTGATTACAGTTACTTATAGTTAAGGTACCTAAAAGAGGCTTGTTTCCAAGGAGACTGACAAAGTTTGATTCCAAACAATAAAAAATGTGAAATTACAGAATCCTGAAATCAGCAGCCATTTAAAACAGCTGAAGGCTACAAATAAGCTGAGGAACAGTTTGTGGTTAAGGAAATAATGAATTATTTGATGAAAAACCATTGTTCAAAACAAAAATTGTGGGAGTGTGGGGCATGAGTACTTATTACACAATATACATTCTCTAGGACCTTAGAGTTAAATGTCCTTGCATTGTAGGTTCATATTCAGCTTGACGGACTGGACTGGACATTTTGTTGTTGTTGATAGGTGGCAGTGTGACATAGTAGTTAGTAAATTAATCTTATAATCAGAAGGTTGCACATCTGAATCTGGGGCAGGACACTGCCATTGTATTCTTTAGCAAGGTTCTTAGGATGAATTGCTACAGTAAATATGGTGCTGTATAAGAGGATAATTTGTGAGCTGTGCAAATTGCTCCTGATAGGAATGTCTCTGAAGAGAATAAAAACAATCACAGAGACTAAAAGATTAGAGCTTTTATAGAGAATGGAACAAGGTAAGAGGCTGAACAAGTAGTTCCTGTGTTGGCAGGTAAATCACAACAGGTTTTCCTGAAGTCATACCAAATGATTTCACTGATGTGACTAAATTTAATCAATGTGTTACCAAACCCCACAGTGAGTTTTATCTTTTTCAAACAGCGGATATGATAAATAGTTTACAAACAATCTAGCCTAATTTCATTTAAAATTTTCCCCAATTTATGGCAACAAAGAACAGATCCTAACAAAGCATCCTTAACTGCACCTTCACCAAATCTGGAATAAACTGATCGAACCCTATAAACCTCAGTCCAGTGCAAATTGTCTGTCATGGCGTGCTGTTGTATTGATTGAATTAATGTTTCTTTCAAACCCTTTTTGTATAGTTGTTATTCATGCTGTGACTAGCCTATGTGTGTAAACAAACCAATAATATTGATCCCCAAAAATATTACAGCAGGGCATTTTGTTCAACTGATAAAGGAATGGTTTGAGTCAGATTTTACATATTAAATAATTTTAGCATGTGAAAAGAATGTGGTTATGTTGTGACATGAGACTATGGAATGGACATAAACTGTGACATGAAATGAGGAAACGTTGAGGATAATCTGAGTGGACTGAAAGAAATGAAGGATGGACAGAAATGTAGAATGGGACCCTTAAGGATGCAGTTGTGTATGAAGAGGGGCCCTCTTTAGTTTTCTCAGTGGCACAATGTGGAACTGCAACCCAGTCACACATTACATCACAAAACTGGCAGACAGAAGCGCTTACATCCCTACATGATTTTTTTTTCAGGCACCAAGAACATAATACATTAAAAACCACTTCTATGCAGCTGCATGTATGGTACATTGATATTCAGCTCGAAAGACTTCAGGTAAAGTGAATATTAATTAACCTGGTTAAAGGTAAAACCATCTGGTGGCATATTATGACTTTACTGTAACATCCATTGTAGGTGCATGTGTCATATTACCTGTAATACTTTACAAAGGAGACAGCTAGTGAATACAAGGAGCAGATGCAGGATTAGGCCAGACAGAATAGATGCAGAATATGCCAGATACTGCAGATCAATGGTGTAAGTAGTATTAGATGTACTGGGGCTTTTGCAAAATTAGGATAGAGAAGACGGTAAGGAGGAAAGTTCAAAATGGTCTGAATTTGACTGCTGAATTATGTGACCATATGAAGTTGACCTGAATGTTGTGTTCAAATGATGTTAATACAGGAATAAAAGTTTTAAATGAGCAGACCTCACAGTCATTGTGGACCAGCCTGTAAGAAATAGTCAACCCGTAACCTGCTATCCAAATAAACATTTCATACTGTTTTTTTTTTTTTTTTTTTTTTTTACAGAAAAAACGTTGGTTGGCTAGTTTGCTAAGTACCATACTGATATGATCAAATTAAACACGAGTAGGGTAATTTTTGTCCAAAGCCAGCACATTTTGGTGTTATATTCTGTGTCTCATCGCCTCATTTCAACATCACTGTGTGCGAGGGTGGCACAATGGTTTTTGAGCCTTTTAATCAGCAGGGTTCAGGGTTGAATTGCTGTTCTATCCCTGTGCAAGATACATAACCTTAACTGTGTCAGTGAATATGCAGCTGTATATGTGTAAAATATGTACATTTTGAGCTGTGCATGTCCTCATGGATAAGGGTGTCTACTCAGAAAATGAAAAATGTAATATAAATCTGTTCCCAAGTGCACTGAAATTCTTCAGGCAAAAATGAAATGCTAGAGTTTTTGCATTCAGCCATTTCTTACTTATGTAACATTTAGATAAAATGTGAGTCATGTTTCAGCTACAGATGAAACAACCTGCTAGTTGCTCTGCAGCCACAT